TGTCTACTTCAGATGATTCAGATCTGAGTGAAGATGGCATCCAGTTGAAGATAGATCGYACCAATTTCACTCGTGACTACAATGTAAGACTTAAGGATATAAGAATAGAGTACAATTTATCTTCGATGTGTGCAAGACCAAATTAGACTAAATATTGTCTTGCCTTTTTGTAAASAATTTGATTACTTTCTTGCGGACTTTTTTGTCTCAAGATTCGCCAAGTAATGGCTAACATCTGTTGTCAGACCAATTTCGCCGCATTTCCAGTCAGTACCATGCAAAGATTGCACAATATATCAGATGTTGTACAAGTCTTGCGTAAACAAATCAGATCAGACAATAACATCGTTTGAATGGCTTTGTAATATATYTTAGCCAAGCATTATTGCATTCTGTTGTCTATTTGTGGTTTGTTTTTGACACAATGAGCATATTTTTCATGCAATAATCATGGTAGAAAGCAATAATTTCTGGAAATGTCTGACAAAGGTGCATATCCCTGTACCATCGTCCCATAGTCAATGGGGGTGGGGTATGGGGCCCACTGTTTTGGTATGAGGTGTTCAATTGTTCTTGCTGTTATATGCCTGGCTCTTCTTGATGATAGTTGATGCCAACAARAGAATTATGTGCCATACAGTAAACTAGTAATCTCATTACAACACAATGGTAATTTTATACTCCTTTATTGATATTCTAGGCAATCTGTCTAGACAGTGGTTTAAGACTATCAAAATTGTACATTTTGTACAATGCAATGAATGCTAATGTTGATTATCTGTAACAAAGTGATTTTTACAACTGAGAGGACTTGTTTGCTTCATAGTTAATCTACAACTATGATTACACATGCCTGATTAAATGTTTTTATATTCCAATTTTGAGGGGATACAATTTCTTCCATCATCATATCCACCCAAGAGATAATTTCTAGACATGGTCCTACTTGAMTGTATAAACACAAGCCATGTTTGTAAAAGAATATAAATAAATATACTAGAAAGGATGTTTTTTTGGCTGGGTTACTACATGTTTGTCTTTATCTTCAGGTTGTCACGCCGGCAGAGTTTGTGAGGAAGTTTGGAGGAACAAGAGTTATAGAAAAAGTAAATCAACTTATAAGATTTCTTCAGCATTATAATGATTCAGTTGTGCATATTTCRTATGACTGTGCAAAAAACATGGCACTTTTGTTTCGTGATCATACCATGCCATAGCAGTGATGTATTCTTTATATAACCACTTATTTTTTATTTGGCATTGATACCAGGCATTGATCCGTGACTTTGCACAGTCATACGAAATCTACTACTACTATACAGTCATGTAAGCACTGCACTATAGATTCAGAGGGTGATAGCAGATACTAGAATGAATATACTTCTTATATCAGGTTCTTATTGCCAACAATGGAATTGCAGCTGTTAAGTGCATGCGATCYATTCGCCGTTGGGCATATGAAATGATTGGCAATGAAAAAGCMATCAAATTGGTTACCATGGTAACTCCAGAAGATTTAAGGGTGAGTTCAAGGCACTGGGCTTGTGGGTCAAGATTACATGATATCGTTTATTAATAAAATCTAGCAGCCAGAGGATAAATTACATGTCAGTTGAAGTAAAAATATGTACAAGTCAAGAAGAAAATTTCAATGAAATGACTAATGCATAAGATTGTTTAACGCTCAAGAGAGTGACTCATTGACAGTCAGTTTGAGTAATAAAATTACATGATTGATGAYRAAAGTTAAATRTTTCTTGTTTTATTCACTGTTGTTATTTSCAGGCTAATGCAGAGTACATTAAAATGGCCGACCACTATGTACCAGTCCCTGGTGGTAGCAAYAATCACAACTATGCCAATGTAGAGCTTATTGTTGATATTGCAAAAAGACTTCCTGTTCAGGTAACATACGGCAATAAAAAACCTTCTATTATAGACAAGGAAGCATGTATACTTGTCTCTTTTCCATTTCAATCTTCTTAAAATTAATGCTACTTTTGGGCTTCCTGTGTGAATWTCACAGGGATCCCAGTAGGGTAAAGTGAAAAACTTCTTGTAGTGGAGACAGTAGGCCAGTATATTTTCTCAGTATAGATCGAGATTATATAAGTCACTGTTTTTGACACACAGGAAACTCAGTTTTGAGTTATGCATTAATGACAAGGTTTTACCTTATTTCTGGTTATTCTATCATTTTATTTCTATGTCTTATGCTGTATTTTTTATGTTTAGGCTGTTTGGGCTGGATGGGGACATGCTTCAGAAAACCCTAARCTTCCAGAGTTACTAGCAAAATTTGATATTACTTTCATTGGTGAGTGAAATAACAAATTATTAATTATTGTCTTAAAAACTTTCTTACTTGCTTTCCTACTTTTGCATTTCACCAATGTATTTTCTACACAGGACCCCCAGACACAGCAATGTGGGCTCTTGGTGACAAAATAGCATCAACAATAGTAGCACAGACTGTGGGAGTCCCAACCCTACCCTGGAG